TTTATTATTTATTCAATATTGCATACGTAAAGTACCCCTTTTTCTTATGTCAACAAAGAACATTTTAATGCCTCATGTAAAAATTTTCTGTTTGTCATTAATCCTAGGTATCTTTTGTATGACTTTTATGGATCTGAGCTTTTGATGATTGCACGAGCTTTCACACTATGGACAGGCAGGCTTCGCTCGCTCATTTTTTATTTATATAAGTAACATGCGTTCGATGCTTGAATCAAGTCAAAATTGTATATTGAAAGGAAATGAAGAATTTCCAAATATATTATATGCTGGCACCTGAGTCGGCAGAGACAGAGAGAGAGAGAGAGAGAGAGAGAGAGAGAGAGAGAGAGAGAGAGAGAGAGAGAGAGAGAGAGAGACGCATCAGATTCGTTTCTGCTTTATTTTTCTACATAAATCAAACTGTAAGTTTTTTCCAGACAATTAGATTTTCTTCACTTTTACCATATTCATCTATGATCATAAACTTTTTGTAGGATATCTCCATATTAAAGGATATAATATTTTAACTAAAATATTATCAATCAGTTATAGCTAAGTCAGCGCTGTATTCTCATAATAACTTTCAATTTTTATTTCAACAATCAACCTAACTATCAATTTAAAACATTTGTTTACGTTTATATATTTAATTTAAAAAATGTTTTAGAATAAATAACTGCAGTGATGAGTCGTAGTTACTTATCAATTTATAATTTTTTTCATTGTTGTTGACGGTTATATGAAGCTAAAATTCATAAGTTGTATTGAAAAAAATTATCCGTCCAGGGAATAAAAGTAATTAAAGTAGATCATTTGGATTATTTATTGTCTTTATAAAGTTAAAAAATTATCTTTTTTATTTTTTATTTAAATATTTAATCGATAATTTAGCTTGAGAAACGTCTATATGGCTATTAGCGTCTATTTTCTCAGCATGTTAGCTGCTGTGCTAAATTGTATTATATGTGCTCAACACGCGTACAAACTTATAATATATACTGTCACATGACGGCGCAATCTTCTTCATTGAGTAAAAGTTGTACTTTTAATACTTGAAGGAACACACAACGAGAACATTATGAAATCGCGATATTATGCACGATGACTTATTAATTTCAATTAATATTGTATCACAAAGAGTGAACAATTGTCTTTTGTTCTCGTGAGCCTGTATCACGACAAGAATGAGTTGCTTTATAAACAGTGAAAAAACAAAATCAAAAAAACGTGGCGTATCTCTCTTATTCTACCTATAATATTCAACGAACTGATTAGCAATTCACAAGACAAGTACAATCACGTTCCTCCTCGCAAAATCTCTTGAAGTCACGAATTTGGCCGAATTTACTTCCATGAGGATACATGCGCAGACAAAAGTGTGACCATGTACAGATACTCACGTGACATTGCAAACAATTCAAAAATACTTTTAATATACAGTTTCATGCAAACAGTTCTTAGCTGGGATTTTGAATATTAATTTTTTTTTTCAATCACGTGCGTTCAACTTATATAACTCGTACTGATCTTTACAATGACAAAATTAAATTTCCTTTAAAGTTCATGTGCGTTAATTTTAATTGTTAATGTAGAAAAATGGTTTTGAGTATATAGTAAAGGAAATAGTCGAAGGTTAAGACTTTTTAAGTAATACTCAACTTTCAAGTTTATTATGTTTGAAGGAAATTAACAATGTATGAAAGTGATCTACTTAATATATATATGTTCATTATTTTTTTTCAGTGTATTTACGTAAGTTCTAATACGCCTTAAATTTGTATAAACTTGACGGGTTCAAATTGCAGTAGTGACTGGCAAAGAAAATTGCGTGAAGAAGAATGCTCGTTATAGAGCAAGCGACCTAAATTTCACGCGTTTCAAAAATACAACTTCCAGTATTAGTTTTGCCGAAGATGTTCTTCAAATGATGCATACGGTATTCATCGCATGCATCACTCTTTCTTCATATCACCCCCCCCCTGTCTCTGACAAAGTGCTCTTTACAACTCTAACAATAGTCAATTCAAAGTTATTTCCTGATGTTAAAAATCTTCATAGAATGGTTTTCTAGTTTTTAAAGATTAGATAGATAAAATATATCACGTAAATTTATATAAATGCTCTAATTGTATCTGCGATAATTTACGAAGATACTTTTGTTGGAAAATTGAATTTTCTTCATTCAATAATGAGATAAAATATACATCATTATGATCATAAAATATTTTGCCAAACAAAGATAAAAAAGAAATGCACCTTTGATACTTGAAAGCCACGCGACAATTTCCCTTTCCATAGCGCACGTTCGTACTCTCATCATACATGTAATGATAAAAATTTGTACGCGGTTGTGCGAACTCGTCTCGCGTTTACTTTTGCGAAGAAAATTGGTACGCGCTGGTAGCGAAGGCGAAGGTGACTCGGCGTCAACGTCGACGACAATTTATCGAATGGAAGGCAACGGCAACATCTCGTTCCGATGGAAGAAAGTTGTTACCGACTGATTTTCCCTTTCGCTTGTTTTTTTCTTCTTTTTTTCTCTCGGCTCCCATTACACCTCGTTACGCCCTGGTTCTGTGTCCTTTACTTTGCAATGTTTCTTCAGTAGCTATTCTCGGATTTAACTTTTTATCTTTTACTTTGTACCTGTGGACGAATGCTCGTTTAACGATTTTTGCGAAAGATCGGACATTTTCATTTATTATGTGGAGATGATTGAGATATCCATATTTGATATTACTGTTTCAAAATTACGTCTATTAGTTTTAATAAATTTCGATTATTCTATCTACAGTATTATTAAAAAAATACTCAATTCGGATATATATTGGTATTTAAGATGATCGTGAAATGTGTGCAAATTATGAACTTAAAAATGTTTTCCAAAGAATGTGAAAGTAGAAAGTGGAAGAGATTGTATTTTAGCGAAATATTAAGAGTCAAAAAATTGATAGATTTGAAAGTTATGAATCATGCTTTTAGACTTTTATTTTGAGTCGATCGAATTAATAGTACACGATATGTGTGTGCACGCGGGCGCGTACGCGTGAGCGTGGGTGTTCGAAGATTATTAACCAAATAATTACAGATCGTAGTCGCGAGCTGTTGACAATAATTTTATTATCCACTATAGGTAGCGATGAAGGTGTGGTGGCGCCAAGCCACCACGATGGCTACATATACCAGATATATTTCTCATAATGAAATTGAAACTCAGAATGAAACTGTTGACACTTTCAATTTTTTTCCCAAGACTTTTTTCTTCATAATTCACGTATATAATAATAACTACAGTCGTAATAAAAATGTGGTAATAAAAGTGTGTATTCTTTCTAGTATACACATGTCAGTTACCTCCATCTAACTTTTTTATTAACTTGTGTCGTCGACCATTATTTTAAAATTTATTTTATTGAACAGAAGAAAATATAATAATATTTTAATTAGATAAATAAAATTAAAAAATCTTTACCAACAACTTAATATCATTAACGTACGGTAATATTTTACTAAGTAATTAATTAAAATCTGATTGTCATGGAATATTGTACACATTATGAATGCACATTAAATGATTTCTAAAAATTTGAAAGTCTTATTCTACATGGCTCTTTTTTTATAATTATGATATAAGCTAACCAATTGTTTTATACATGAATTATTTTATGCAAATCAATATAAAATGGTATTCTATATTATCAACATTTATTTCTACATGAACGATTTTACACTAATTAACTAGATCGAAGAGTATTCAACATAATCAATTTTTGATGAAAATATAAAAGATTATTTGCTTTCGATGCACGTCATGCATATCAGCGCCAAAGACAATGTAGAAATAAATTTTGATAATGTCGAATACCATTTTACGTTAACTTTGCATAAAGTAATTCATGTATAAAATAATTTGTAAGCTTATATCATAATTATAACAAAAGTGCTATGCAGAATAATATTTCTCATTATTGATATAAAGTAAATCATGTGTAGAATTTTTTCACATAATTACTACTAAAAAAATTTATGTACAATCAAATTATGTAAAATATTTTATACATTTTTCGTTTAACATTATGAGTTGGTCATGTGCAATATTACGTGTTCAACAATACATATTTTCACATTCATAACGTGTAGAATATTCCGTGACAATCGGATTTCAATTAATTATTCGGTAACAAACTATCGTGCATGAATAATATTAAGATATTAGTAAAGATTATTTTATTTTATATATTCATTTTTTAAATAATGGTTGAATGAAATCATATAGAAACGGTGTCTGTACGAAGTAAACTGGGAGGGGGGGGGGCGTTGCGGATCACGCCTTTGAAAAAATATATAATTTCAAGAAAAGATAAGAGATGCAAAGAATTTTTTTAACAAATATAATTTGTATCAAAAGTCAAACTTTACGTTTTATCTCTTTAAAACTGTGCATTACAAAAACTGCTGATTTTCATGGGCAAGATTGTACAAACATTGGTATTACCGTTCGAAAACTGGCAATGAAGTTAGCCGTGAAACTATTTGAATTATTGCATAACTAAAATATTATCTAAAATCAGTATTAATATCAAGTATAACACTACAGACATATCTCAGTTAGGTTTAAACACTCACAAATCAAAGTTTGCAAGAAGACGAGAGAAGGTATAAATAAAGCCTGTTTATATTAAAAATCGAGAACTGGAGAGAAGTGCGAAAGGGATCAGAGCTGGAGAAGAAAAATTGACATGGTCAAACAGACATAGTACATTACGATACAAGTGCGGGAAAGTAGATTCTTGTCTCGCGTGGCGTTTACACCCGAGCGAAGCGATTTAATTATTGAACGAGCGTGCGGGAAAAACGCCCTTTGCGCACGGAGTATCGAAATGTTAGAAATGGGAGGGCGGACGGTGTAATATGATAGTTTTCTGATGTACATGGAATAAGTAAATTAATAAAATACAAAACAATTATCAAATATGAAGATATATGTTTATTAAAAAAATGGTACATAAAAACTTACAACTAATGATAACAAAACGCAGCTTAAACGGTATTATAAAATGTACGTCAAGGGGGGGGGGGGATTTTTTTATTTATAAAATGTTACGTTTGTACAATGAATATGAACAAGTCTATATGTATATTTCTTTACAGTCTTGACGGAATAAAAAAAATTCGATTCATTACAAAACAAACCTATCACTAACTTACGAGTTCCTAAATAAAAAAACGCAGAACAATTGTACCTACATTTAGTTACACATAACATGTAACGCGTACGATACATTTTGGACGTTTTGGACGTACTATCGGTCTACTAATAATTTGATTGTTCTCTTGAGACCATAAATAATATACTAGGTACAATGCACTCCTTGCATCCTCTACCGGGTTATGTTCATCTTGTTGGACGCGTACGCCCAGATATTTCTTTGTCAAATATCGTAAGCTATTCTTATAAGGCAAGCCGTTGTCGTGAGGGAACAAATGCGTAGTATCGATGACCGTTGGATGCAGGATCCTTAACGCGCGCAAATCGTTTTCTAATCCGTGTCCAATAAGAATAGTGTCCGCAGAGATAAACTGTCTGAGTTCATACCGCACTTCCCACAGTTTTTTCGCGTTCACGAAATCTTCGGCGCGAAGGCCGCTGAATCGTGTGTTATAATCTATGATAGGATTATTGGGTTCGACTATCTCATCGTAGACTACGACTCCGTTTCGATCGACCAATGTGACACGACCAACTTCGAGACCGCACTTGGTAAAACACATTTCACAATCCATACTATAAACGCCGTAGTTGTTGTCCTGACGCTGTACAGAGATGGTGTCGATGAAATCATCGTAAGGCCCGTTGTCGCCCTCGACGACTCCCGTCCAGACGTGAACGTTCGCTCTAGAGCAGCCAGGCGCCCGTTCGCCCGCGTCGCAACACATCCACATCCCACCCCTAAATTTTCCCCAGTGATATTGGCAGCCGTCGGAGTAGACGTAGTCTCCATTTAAGCTCGACACGTAAAACGGCCGAGAGCATCGCGAACAGCTACGTTGGAGCACCGCGTCTCTCGTACTGTAGTAAATTTCGCCGTCCGAAGAGCTCTCCAGGTCCTGATCCGAGTTATCGGTAGAGCTGACGCCACTGCCACAACCGCTGTCCAGGGCGAGATTGTGCCGTTTGCGAGGTACGAATTCCCGTGCATTGGCATCTAAGGTGAAGGGGTAGAGCGGACGGCGGGTGAAAACCTGGGGCTTCTGAGAGCAGATAGTCCTGCGGCCTTGCGGCGGGACACGGTAAAGGATCTTGACGTTCCCTCCCGGTAAGATTGAAGGGTAGCCGTGGTCAGACATCTGCGTAGTGGTGAGCTGGTACTTCTTAAGGGTGAACCACAAGTTGGCATCACTCTTATTTTGTAACACGACTGGCCTGAAGGTATCCAGTGGGTTGCCGCTGGGCCGCGGCGAGAATTTACCAAACGGATCGGGGTTAAAAAACGGATCGTTCGAAAGCACGCCGTTGGTAATAAACGAATGAGTCATTTTGGAGCTACGCATTGTTTGTTTGATTTTGTCCTGACCAGTTCTGTAGCGACGACGCTGTAGTTGACTCTTGTGCTGCTTTGTTGGTAGCGGTGGAGGTCGACCGTCGTCGTGCTCACGGCGTGGCGCGCGAGTGCGGTTCTTGCGTTGTCTCCGGCTGAGCACAGGACGTCGCGGCTCCTGATCCGATGATGAGGACGATCTGCTGGATCCGGTTGGTGATGGGGGTGGCCGAGGTTGTACTGATGCGCTACTCAAGTTGATGGCGGCTTCTTTTGGGAAACAGACAGAGAACACATCTCGTTAGTTGTTGTGGACTGCTTGTTTGACCAGTGATTGGTTTTGTTAATCAGACAATCTTTCTGCTTCCCCGGCACACTGTTTTCTTTCGGGTTATGCAGTATTTGTCTTATTTGGCATGTCCGTGGGATTATCTTTGCTCCTCGCGCGTGGTCTGTGAAACGTCGAGGCTAAGTGAGAGAGACGCGCAGTTTCTCACTCGAAAACAACTCTGTGGAAGGAATGCATACACTTTTTGACGAGCCACCCTCTTTTACTTACTTGATGAGAATGACGAGCTGAGTTATAACGTGATATTATCACGATGACGCGAGGCAAAGCGTTCTGTTAACCGGATAGATGATGATGGCGGTATCTGCATCGGAACTCCTATAAGTTCGGCGTGAAATACTTGCTTGCGAATTTCTAACGGATACGCGTACGCATGAGGAAAAACCGTTTTTTTGACACGGAGATTTACGTGGCCAAGCGCTATTTTTTTAATTTAATTACTAGCTATTTTTAGAAACTGAAATTTCGATTATCAATCACAAAGACTGCTGATGCTCTGCTGAACTCTTACAGATCTCATCAAAATTTCCGACAAAAGAAAATAAAAAACTGCATTTTAGTTTAGTGTCTTCCGCGTGAACAATTGTGAACGGTGTCGTCGTCGACAACTTGATGACGTAACAGTTCAATTACTAGGCAATGATACTCAACGTTGCTATTTTACAATAACATGCAATTACTGACAGGAGAGAAGAGAGAGAGAGAGAGAGAGAGAGAGAGAGAGAGAGAGAGAGAGAGAGAGAGAGCGGGGGGGGGGGGCAGACTGCAACTCAATTAAAAGCGTTAACACAATTAGGATAAATCAAGTGACAATCGACACGCGACATTAAGTATAAGTGGGAGAGATTAGATGGAGCAAAAAGTTACAATTTGTTATGTATAAGCAGCAAATCCTAGTCTTTCTGTTTGGCTCCGTTTTTTTCCTTTCATACGATCATAAATATTCTGTAATTGTTGCCGTAACTTGGGATTGCGTCTCACGTGTAATACGCGCTCGGTATATAAGTTTTATTATATTGTTCGCGAATTTGACGAAAATGCTCTGACCGAGATATCAATGGTTACGAACTAGCTTTGAAAATTTGTACAAGATCAACAAGAAACGTAAGGATAATCTGAAGAAGCAGCGACAAGTGGGCACGCGTTCGACAACGCGTCGAGAAGCACGTTTCAAGGGAATCGACCAATAGCGGCGGGAGCAAAGTTCACCGGGATACAGCCAAAAAAAGGGATGATAGAACGAAAGAGCAAGATAACAAATACATAAGATTCTTACCTTCAGCACAGCTGGCCAGAAATTTCCCGTTGGCAGAGAAGTCGATTTGAAGCAGAGGACCTGTGTGACCTTTGAGAGCACCGAGCATCCACGAGTGACTAAACTCCTGCTGTGCCTCACGACGCTTTTTGCTCTTCGCTGTCTTCTTGCTGCTGGTGCTCGAAACTGCGTTCACAAGTTCGCGTTGATCGGCGTGCTGCTGAACTTTCTGTTGAGTCTTCTCTAAAACGTCTGAAAAGCACAGAGTAACTGAGATGTAACTGTTGATTTGCTAAGACCTTTAGCGGAGCAAGTTCCGGTTAAGAATGACTTGCCGCGAAGAAAATTTGCCCTAATATAGTAAAATGGCTGAGGACTTCTTGTTCTCTGATTGGGCCTTTGCAAGGGATGAAGAGTAGAAGGGAGAGGGCATGGACTATCTGACCGAGTTAGCCGAACGAGGCATATTTTGGAACTACCCGCATAGCCGTACCGTCTCTAATTGCTCGTCATTTATGGGGTCTGGCGACTGCCGGATTAGGGAATCCCCATAATCTGTATCGTAGATTTTAAGAATTTTCTGCACGACTTTGTTATTGATGATTTACGACCGGGTTTTATAAGATAGGACGGATGCTAATTTAACAAGGCGACCTTTGTATTTGAAAAATTCGTCCAGGCTAAAGCGAAACTTTTAGCAACCCTAAATCATACAGTCCAGATTTAAATAGGCATATGGTGCTCAGAGAAAATTAGAAAGTGAAAGTTTATGATGTCGATATGACATTTACAAAGGACTAAAGCGAAGGTGCCTTCGTGTTAATTTAGTTGACTTATTTCCATTCGGAAAAAGATTCAGAGATATATATGTATATAAAGTAAAATATTATTAACCATCATTATTTTAATATTCAAAATAATAAAATCTAGCAATTATAATGTATATTAATTTTGTACTTCGTTTCATATTCTTTTCTACAATAACCCCTCTCACCACGTTTATTATATCCAAAGTATTGTATTTGTATTTTTGTGATTCTGCATTCTCGAACGCGCCAATAACGAAAATTATAACAAGACTAATATTCGTTTTATTCCGGCTTTATATTTATTTTTTTGCAATGATTGAAAAAGGTACGATTCAATCAAGTCAATAATGACCCGAGACCATCGTGCTAACACAACCATTAATGACCCTCCTTCTCCTCCCTCGTTGAAATCGGTCGAATAGTTGCACAAACATCCGCGAACAAGCGCACAAGCCCCTTTGTTGAAGTTGGCAGAAACACGAACAAAATGAATAAGAACGTAGACGTAATTCCGATAGCAAAAGATAAGAATATATTTGTTCTATGGTCACACCTATATAAACTCCGATAATTACGTAACTGTGTGATTTTCTTCACTTATTTGATAATTTCTTAACTGATAGCATATGTATTTGGTTACATGAAGAAATTTCTAAAGCAAAGCTAATTGATTGGTAAAAAGTCTTATACGAGGATTGCATCAGTTTCGTAGCGGTGCAATGTCCGTTTAATGAGCATCATAGGAATGAAGTCGTATGGAGATGAAACCTGTAGCAACGGCCAACTTGGCCCATTAATATTACATTTATATATAACCTGCACGCCAGGACTTTTATTTTAGCGACGTCGTCTCCGCATACCGGAAGGATACACTCACGAAGAGAAGAAAAACCCCAGCCTGAAAGCACTGCACGAGGTGCCCTTGCTTGATCTAAATTCCAGGCTGTATCCAACAAACTTTTCTGATAAAGCTACCCGCAATACGCGAAAAGTCGTTTCTCACGTATCACCATCATCGTTAAACGTTAGTATATAAACCCTCCAACCTTTTCTGCAGATTTCATTATTTTATAAATGTAGGGCTCTTTCGCAAGCATAAAATCTATATCAAATTCGTTATTTCTCTCCGACTAGCCGACAGGGATAAGCAAATACATGATTTGCAGTACATTGCGGTACGGTGTTACAAAGGAGGAACATTTTTTTCTCATTACGCACCGCATGTATGCAGCGTGTATGAAGATAATTTCTTTGGCTGTAATCGCTTATTGTTTGTTTGCATATTTATTACACGCGATCGACCGCACTTTCTTCCTGTTTTGTTTCTCTTGGCCACGACCGTACGCGACATGAAAGAAAAACACTGTAAATCATCAAAATGAAAAAAGGGATAACGGTGTAGACTAAATGTCCCTGCGTAAGGTCTTTCACCTCGGGTTTTGATCCAATAATAATAAATGCAGTTGTTTCCTAGTAATAATAATAATAATAATAATAATAATAAATCAAAGTCAAAAAGGAAGATAATTTGTGCATATCGCAATGTGCCGATCGAATAATTAGACAAAAAATCACCGTGCAAAAACCACGTGTATCTCGCTTAGCTCTATACGGCGGCGGTACGGTTTACTGCACATAGACACGTGTCTATCGCGCCGTGTGTGCGTTCTCTCTCTCTCTCTCCTCTCCGACTCGCTCTCTTACTATTTGCCTTTTCTCTATCTTTCTCGCATACATACTCGCTCTTGCAATGTCAGGGACATCCAGGCGTGCTCTTATATGCTTTGGCATAGATTTATCTTTATTGAGGTGAGTGGGTCTCATTTACTTTCTTTGTATACATACTTGTATCTGGCTTGCGCCTCAGGAATAACAGGTAGATGAATGCACCGCCAACGAGAATGCTCCCGCAGCATAGCAGTAACAATTGCATCGGATCCGTCATTTTTTTATCGTTTCGTTTTTTCTTTATTTCGTTGACTCGTCGTCTTCGTTTTTTTTTTTTTCGAAAGTTCAGTCCGTGATAGACACGAGGAAATTCGCTCTCACGTATTATTTTTTCCTTGCGCACACAATCCGATAATCACCCACGCACGTACGCTCACACCTCGTGTTGTACTGCCTGAGGCGGCGCTGCTATTCGTACGGCGGAGCAACGAGCACCGATTGTCGAAACTCGCGAGAAGGCCAAACTCCTAGTGGGTTCGCTGAACTAATATGGCGGCAAATCGCGATCTCTTCAAATCTGCTCATCTTTTTTTCTTTCTTCTCCCTCGTCTTGCTTCTGCGAAGCGAGCAACGAACTTGTGCAATTACAGTTTCGTCGCGTTGTGAAACTTGAGCACTGTTTTTCTTCTGATAGCGAGCTAACAAAAAACGTGGACTACGTTTCAAAAGGAATCGAGAGACGCGACCGAGTTGAGTGAATGTGACGCGTGTCTGGCAAAGTATACAATCGAAAAGAGGAGAGAGTGCGTGTTTCCTCATCAACGGATTATATGATTCTGGCGTATGCTGCGCTTGTCTAATAATGCGAGTCGTGCTCGCGAGTGCTCGCGGGCCGCGGCTGACGGACTTGCGCCGCGCCGCGCCGGCGCAAACGGGCGCCAGCTGCCTCCCTCCCATCGCGCAAATCGCATCGTCACATCTCCCTACTCGTAGCGGCCGGCATGACAAGACGCAGCGGTCTTTTTTCTTATCACTACCCCACCACTGCGTTCTCTGCAGCTAAATCATGCCGCGAAAGATGTATCAAAGGGTCGCGGTCGCGACCTGCGGCATGAATGCCGTAGGCGCGACTAACGCCAAATAATACACTAACTTTTTGTGTTAGAGATTTTCAAATCAAATATATTTTATAAATGTATATAATTCAGATATAAATGTTTCTCATCGCGTTTACTTTAATGTTTTTTTTAATAAAATCTAAGAGAAGTTCCATTTTAAAAAATTAATTAATTTCATTTTAATAGCAAACCTCTCGAATGGCCAAAAATTTATTTTCTTTGTTAATTTTTTACTGATAAAAGAGTCTGCTTTTAATTTAGAGAAATAGAGAGAGAGAGAGAGAGAGAGAGAGAGAGAGAGAGAGAGAGAGAGAGAGAGAGAGAGAGAGAGAGAGTTAAAAGCATATAGATAAAAGTTAAAAGCATATAGATAAAAAAATTGATATTATTAAAAAAAATAGAGAGAAAAGAGAAAGAAAGTCAAATACAGCAAGCAAAAGTTTAGATAAATTAACTGATGAAAGTTTATAAGAAACTTCTTTACTAAAATGTAGTAAAAATAGTACATATATCAATTAAGTAGTAAATTAAGATTTACAAAAGAATATCGCTAATAACTTACAACAGTGTCATCGAAAATCATAAGTTTTATTTCTTTACTTTTATGTGAATTGATGTGAGAAGATGTAACAAAATCATATCATTTTATTTTAATTAATATTTTTCTCTTCATATTTTGATAAAATAATAAAAGTTCTAACACGCTTCTTTTATTTTGTCAGCTATAAATCGAACTTAAGAATACAAGAGAATTATTAGTGAATAATAATTTTCTAAAAATCAAATTTCGTGATTTTCATATTTTATAGCAACATTGTTCACTTAATGAACAATGATGAACAAGCCCAGCAAGAATATCTTTTCATTACCTTCAAAAATTCATTAATGACTGTTCACTAACATCTTCATGAAGAAAATGAATATCATATATTGAATATGTTTGGCTAATAGTTGAAGTATAGAATATTATACATGAAATTTTTTAATTTTTTATTGATCTGTTTTGTTTTTTATTGTGACATTTAATATATATTTATTTAATTTGTATAAGAGAACTGCAAATAATTTTGAGCATCTGTACCATTTTTAAATAGATTTTATTATTTTCAAAACTTTAGAAACAATTTTAAGTAAATAATGAGAATGATAGAGTCTAAATTAAAAAATAGGAAATTTATCAAATTTTTGTTTGAGATTTATCTAGCACAGTATAAAACAGTTAAAAATGATTGAAAACAGTTAATTAAACCTTCGTGCAACTTTTTATTTTATAAAGTACGCTCTATTTTGTTCGTAATTATGATTCCTCGCTCCATACTGCGAGTCGTTTTACTTGCATGATATATTAGCTATATTATGTTTATGATTAACAATTTCTGCCACGCAGTTTATCAACGCAATAAAATGCCCGATTAGAGAGAAAAGCTTATGAAACAATATCAATGATGACTCATTTTCTCACTTTTCATCATTATTTTCTAAGCAATGTCATACATGTCACTTACGTGTGTCATCTATTGACACACGCGCAACTCAGTACGTCGTCATGCTAATGAAAAAGAAAAGGCGCATTATCAAATATTCAATAATATTTCATGTCATTTGCAAGGAGTCTATATATATACACTATTGAGCAATCTCATTGTTGAAGAATTCATTCGACGACGACGATCTGGATATACTTGTTAAAGTTGATAGAATGCGAGCAATAAAGTGAGCTTAACTAAAAGGACATCTTACGCTATTTCAAATCGTTGTGAATGTGATTCATGAGAATTTAACGCACACCTCTCGCAATAAACAAGGTGGCTATAAATGTGTGGGTATACATAAAAAAAAAAAGAAATGAACGCGACACACTACTTAATTTTGCATCAGCGTCTATCTATACATGACGTTCAGGAGGCTCATCTTCGATCGATGACGTTGCGATTATCTGCACGACCACGTATAAGGAAGCCGCGAGAGTTTCCGGGGAATCGTGTGTCACTTAAAAGAAAAATATATAGCAATAAACATAAGCTAGTATTTCACGCGAGTTGCTACGTATACTTATCTATTTCCATTTTACGTGCACGCTTTTTCTCAAACACAGTCCAAGGCTCTTTCGCCTATCTTTGACGAATCCAACAGGTGCGCGACTTTTCAACATATACTTGTTTACTCGCCACAATCATAACGATATCAGTGATAACTTGCGAGTGCATTTGAAAATCAAACAAAATTACTTGTCCACGAAGATCAGTTTTAATTAAACGAAGTCCTCACTCGTTTATATTTTACATAGTGTAGTTACCTTCTTGTCTGCCATGGCAGCACAAATCTTCAAAGTTTTCGAAGACAAACCATTTATTATTTTCTACCTGGCCCCGGACTCCCATTACCGGAGTATTGAAGCCCTTAAATACAGTTCATTAGCTAGGAAGAGATGATCGTGGATATCCCCACGGGGAAGAAATAATGTACTCCAACAAAGATCTCATGATTAAAACGTTGATAAAACAAATTTCCTCCGATCAGTACTTAAAATTTTACTCCGTGCGCAAAGTGCGTTTTTCCTGCACGTTCGACAGAAAACGTGCGTTGAAAATCGCAATTTCCACACGTCGTATAAAAAAATACGGTATGGCACATATTTGGGAAAGAATTTCTCGTCTCGTGTACATTTCCTCCCTCGCTTCGCTTGGGCGTAAACGCCATACGAGAAACAATAGTACATTACGATACAAGTGGGGGAAAGTAGATTCTCGCTCTGCTTGAGCGTAAACGCCACACGGACTTCGTATAATTAAAACTGAACTTCGTGAGCAAGTAATTTTATTTGATTTTCAAATGATTCGCGAGTTTTATGACCTTCTGAAAGCAAAACATCAACGATAAGAAAACGAAATGAAGTTGTAAATATAAAGATTGTTGTCATCATTATGCATTCGCCACCCGGCGGCAATTTTTAAGTCCATCTGTGAAGTTCCATAAAAAATAAACAGGATGGTTCTGCACGTTAAAGTGTTTATGAAGGGAAACATCAACGATAAGGAAACTAAATGAAGTATTTTACGTACTATTTACGTATTTACGTATATTAGTCACTCAAGTTTTTGGATCCCTCTGCGAATTTCCGTAAAAATAAATAGAGTAGGCTCGAAGCTTTAGTTGTCTGGTATTTTTATGCATTGAAATACCATGAACATACGTAACTTGGTTGAAGTACTGTCGTTCGGTAAGTACTTGACTCCAAAGGAGCAATTAAATGGGAGCCGCAACCCTACTTTAACTAACAGGATCATACTCAGCATCTATGATTTGGTTGATCAAATATCGATTCCGGTGGCAGGAGAAGAAGAGACGATAATGGTTCTCGCTGGGAAATTTTTAATAGTTTTAAATCCTCCTAGCAAAAGGGAAAAAATTAGTTTTAGTTTCCACTTTCTTTTAGTATATTTGTAGGTAATAAACATATCGACCCCCCTTGCGTACGCAACAGAATAATTTAATATAAATAAAGGAGAAATAAAGGATATTAGTAATGAAAAGAAGTCTAAAGTTAATTTCTAATATAAAGTAGGGAAGATTAGGAGCACTCAGGATTACATTCGATAATATATTTTCAACGAATTTTTCTCGTTGACGCATCAACTAGAAATGAGAAGCGTCACTGCTACCGCAAGTACTCTGCTCCCATATTGATACCAAATTCGACGCTATAGGTAGACAGCTAAAACGTAGATAAAATTATAACAATAAACAGAAGAAAAAATATATGTTGCAAAGGGAAAGCGAGGAGGAGGTATAAAACTAAATTCATATAATGCTCGAGACAAAAAGACAAGGCACGGCCAGACGAAATATAAACGTGACTGTTCTCTTCTCTCCTCGTTGATAAAACGAATAATATAGATAAGCGCGCATTCGCGTTTGAGACGCAGTTTGTGCGGAGAAAGCAAATGTTGCGTATCCTCGACCTTGCCCCCAAAGTGCCTAGGCTTTTATAAATAAGATCCACTACTATAGGTTGAAGCCCAACACGCACACGATTAAATTATACGTATCGTACGACTCGTCCAATCCATCTTATGGGCGTCATGACCTTGAACTCTTATTCTTCTTATGGAAAACAAAATCGTGCGTGAATTGTCGGGAAGAAACGAAGGCTTTTTCAATTCCAATTCGTCGACTGCCTTAATTTCCTCTGTTGCTTGATAAAAGCTATTTTTTTTTTAACACTTTATCGGGCTATTTGTTCAAGTTTCAAGAGGGCCAACGAACCAATTCAAGTTCACGCGGTAAGCGCTCGCTTGCTCGCAATATTCCCCTTTCTATTTGTTTTTTCATCGCAATATCAGCTCGTATACGCGCGAGCAAAGGACTCGGCATATTTGGTTTGTCTTGTCTCGTAAATTCTAATTAGTTAAGTATATAATCGATGTAGTTGCTGAAAAGTAACTTCGCATCGCTATTGAAAAAACTACAAATCGTTGTCTCGTAGGAAGTAAAATCAATTCGTTAGTTTTTTCGTTAACTGTTATACATAGGCGATATGAGTCTCAGTTTAGCTCTTTATATATTCATCTTTACTTTATAATTTTCCAAAAAAGAACACGTAAGTACCTTTTAAGCTTTCTATGTTAATTGAGCGCATAATTAGATAGTTTATTTTTAATGTCTATACAAATAGCAATCAGCTAAAAAAGAATTTCCGCATTTTCAGATTCCAAGGCTTCGACGCGCTTTTTAAGTCTAATTATAATGGTCTTGTACATATTATT